AAAAAAAAAAAAAAAAAAAAAAAAAGAAATCCCTGGGAAACTTTGTTTGCCTAAGATAGCTGTTCTATATTTTGTATGCTTAAGGATGGTTAACGTTTTGTGAACTTTACTATTCTTTCATATGCAAGTTGGAAATTAAAATTTGCCAATCATACCCAAAACACTCTCATTGTGTACCAAAGCTTTGTATAAACACTCGGTGTATCAGTTGAGGAAACAGTATCAACGTAAGACTCATAGAGGTAACATCAAATACATGAGTTTCTGAAACTGCTTAAAGGAAACTTCCAAGATTGCAATAACTTCAATCAATCCAACTTACCCATAATCGACTTTCATATGCTGCCCATTGAAGAAAAATACAGTAGATGGAATATAACTGATATCAAAATACTGTGTATAAACTGGAGTTTGGTCCACATCTACCAGGTATATAGCAGCCATTTTACCTAAGTCAGAAGAGGTCTTAGAAAGCTGTAAATGACAAGAGAGATGTGGGTTAAAATATAAGAGGTAGCTAATGCTTCTTCTGTGAACTTTTTACTACAAAAATTTGAAAAAAATCATGGGCCAAGAATCTAGACCATTTGGGCCCCACATTAGACAGTGTAATCTTATCACCTAGCGTCTGAATCACCGTTGACAGGATTATGAGAGGACTCTGGTAAAACTGTGTGAATATATTTCTTCCTTTAATTTTTTGACTTTGTTTTTATAAAAGTAATCCATGTTTGCTTAAAACAAAACTGAAATTCCCTAAAATCTCCATCCTCTCAAACCTCCCAGAAATAATTATAATTAATAGCAAATACTTATAGACACTATGTGCTAACTCCCCTAAATGCTTGACATTTGTTAACTCATTTAATCCTCACAACATTCTTATGAGGTGTGCACTATTAGAGTTCTGATTTTATAGAAGAGGAAGCAGAGGGGCAGGGAGGTAAAGTAATTTGCCCTAGGTCACACAGCTAGTGAGCAATAGGGCTGGGATCTGAACTTGAGCAGTCCACCTTGAGTCTATACTACTGACTTCTGTGATACTTCTTCCCCTCTAGAGCTGAGAGTATAATCCCTTGGTCCTCTTTTCTCAGGTTAACACATCACACACTCATTTTAACCACAGAAATGAGGATTCTTACACTTGAACTCCATAGTGGATGGCAGCAATAGAAATGGTGGGAAGAGGTCTTAGTCCTGGGCTAAGTCTCTCCATAATAAACAAAGCATATATCAGCTTTGTCCCCTACTCCTCCTCCTTACTAATTAGAGTGTAAGGATGTGCTATGAAATCCGAGATTAACATCGGGCACACACTAGAGGTAGCACAGTAGAAAAAAGTATGTGCAGCTATAGGAAACTTAGTGCAAGTCCCAGTTTTGCAATTTAGTGGATCTGCACCAATGAAAAGTTGCTTGACCTCCCTAGCATTCACTTCCCCATTGGGAAGTAGGGCCAGTGTTATCCCACTGTTCTGAGCATCAAAAAAGACAATGTTCACAGATATTTGTCAATGTTTTCTGCTTTTCCATTGCCGTGTCTGTGAAACTGAGCATTGACAGCTGCTAGTGGAGAAGGACAATGAGGACACGTTCGGCACAATCACAGATTTGGGGCTCAGTTCAGAGCAGGCACACAATCATCTCTTGGTGAAAGAGAGCTAATGAATGAACAGCTATATGTCCAGTGCTGACCACTTCCTTTCATGCACTTCACAGATATTGAGTGAGAATATATGGATTTTTAATAGACTATTTATTTTAAACATTCACTTACAATGTCATCTAACTGCAGACAGACAGGATCCTCATCTCTCCCAAACCTGAGAACCAACACCTTCTCTGCAGTACTTTTTATCACTTGGTCTACTTCCTTTTTGCTACTCAGCTTGGGCAATAGGAAGCTCATCTTGAAATAATCCAAATATTAATCCTCACTGTCAATCCTGAAATAAAGATGCAATGTTTAAAGTCAGTTTAGATTAAGTTCATAAGTTCTAACTTTAAATATTTAATTTTTATTTTGTTTATTTATTTACTTATTTATTTATTTATTTATTTTTGAGTCGGAGTCTCACTCTGTCACCTAGGCTGGAGTGCAGCTTCACAATCATGGTCACTGGAGGCTTGACCTGCTGGGTTCAGGTGATCCATCTGCTTCAGCCTTCCAAGTAGCTGGAACTACAGGCGTGGGCCACCATACCCAGTTAATTGTACAGACAAGGTCTCACAAAGTAGCCCAGGCTGGTCTCAAACCCCTAGGGTCAGGCAATCCTCTTGCTTCCACCTCCCAAAGTGCTGGGATTACAGGCATGAGCCATTGTGGCATAACAAAAATTTAATTTTTAGAGTAGGTAACGTATTCACATGGTTTAAAAAGAAGCAACATAGAAAAGGGATACTAGCTGGGCTCAGTGGCTCAGCCTGTAATCCCGCGCCTTTGGGAGGCTGAGGTGAG